GCCTGCATGTTGGCTTTTGTTTCGCCTTTTCTTTTTATTTTTTACATCTTATATTTGTTCTTTTAATGTGGTTTTAGAAATATTGTTCTAAGTTTCTTGGATAAGATAAAGTTTGAGGAATATGAAATCATGGATTGAGATATTAAATCTTGCCTTTTGTTATGTGTTTCTGTAAACATGGTAGAACTTTTCGACTAATCGTGGCTTTTGCTGTGTTCCTTACACAGCCAGCAGACTGTTCCTCACATAGCTATGAGAATCTGAGTACCAGAAGAACTATGTTTCCCCAACTGTATTTTTTTGTTTTAATATGCTTGTAGCTTTCTCTATATCTGGGATTACCTATGAAGTAGAATCTGCACGTCGAGGGTCAGCCATCAAATGCAGTTGGGTATTCCTTCTTAAGAGGACAGGACACAAACCCTTTGGCTCTTGCTAGCCAGGGAAAAACAGCCTTTCAAGAATCAATCTTTTCCTTTCTGGTCACGAGGCATCGCTTTGGAGTGTCAAAAGCTAGCATGACATGATTATGAGAACATGAAGTGTCAGGGTATGGAATCCCAGAATGAGGCTGATCCAGCTTAAATGAGATATGATAGCATCTTTATGACTAACATATTCTTGACAATACATTATCTTCATTTAGCTCCGTATTGTAATCTCTAATGAAAAATACAGCTCCATGAGCAAGAGGCTTTGCAGATACAAGAAAAATGAAGAGAAAAACTAGTACTAGGAATCCATCATAATAAACATAGTCAAAAGCTGAATTGGTATTATAACAATAAAACGCAAAAACCAAAAAGTACAAGGGCAGCAGAACCTGCTTGGAACATCGAATGTAGCATTATTGCCATAATAGCTCTCTCTATTTAGGGAAAGAAGACACACCTGATACAGAGTTAGAGAACAAACATGGCAAATACCACATGATAAAAGATTGAGTTTTACAATGATACAGTAAAAGTGCTCCATTCATGCCTTAGGCTTAGATTCACCTCCTTGTAAACTCGCTGACAAGGATAGTTACCCGCTCCAAGCAGACAGCTGAGTGATCTTATCAATCTACAGCTCTGCAGAAAACCACTAAAGAAGTAGCTTTGGCGCTCCAATGCATTGTCAAATTAAATTGCATATTTAGTTCTCAAGTAGGCATTAGCTCTAGCTTTTCTTGGCTGTCGCTGGACTCTGAGGCAGACATCATCCGTTTTTCTTGCTCTAAATCATAGACTTTGTCTGTCATACCTTCTTTTCTATATGCCTCAGCCATAACAGTGTAAGTTGTGTCATCTGGTTGGAATCCCTTATCTTTCATTCGCTTGAAAACTCTCTCCATCTCCAATAAGTCCTCTGCCTTTGCACAAGCATAAATAACAGAACTGAAAAAGGAATTGTTTTCAGGGATCTCCAACTTCCCAGCTAATTGGACAGTGCTGATCACCTTAGGAAAAAGGCCTGCATTTGCATATCCTCTAATGAGACAGCAAAAAGTCTTGGTGTCACCTTTAGCGCCTTCAGCACGCATTTGATCAAATGTGTACTCCATATGCTTTGCATCACCTATATCTGAAAACGCTTCGATGACGTTGTTGTAAGTCGATGTTGTCCAAGGAAATGAAAGTTTACGCATGTACTCCATCACCGATGACATCTTATCGTACATTCTTTTCTTCCCATAAGCACTAATAAGGATATTAAATGTTCGTGTCTCTGGCTCAATACCGAAACTACAAAACTTTTCATACCATCTCTCCATCATTTCAACTTGCCCCTTGTTGCCAAATAAGCTCAGGATTGTGTTCATTGTCCATATATCAGGTCTGCTGTCTGTGCTCTCAAGCATTCCCAAAAGCACTTTCTCCATCTCTTCATATTTCCCCGCTCTCCCGTAACCACTCAAGACTATATTTTGAGTGACAGTGTTAGGAACTATGGAACGTTCAGTCATTTGTTCATAAAGAGAGTCAACCAGATCAAATCGGGATGCATCCACACATGCCTTAATCAATATACTGTATGTATAAACATTTGGCTGACAATAAGGGAGCTCAATCATCTGTTGAAGAATCGCAAATGCCTTGTCAATTATGTTGCTTCTACAGTAAGCACCAACCAAGGCTGTATAGAATTCTGGTGTGGGTTCCAATCCCTCTTCAATCATTGTATCAAAAAGTTGTTGTGCTTGCCCTGGTTGTCCGCATCTCCCAAGAAGTACAAGAAGCTTCATATATGTACTTTCTTTCGATTGATAAAAGGGTTGTTCCTTTAGCATCTCAAATACCTAGAGGCAAAAACGCATTGTATTATCTAAACCATATGTTTGGAAGTGGGAAGAAAAACAGAAGAGAGTTAGAGACATCCAATTGGGAAATACATCAGCAATAAAAGCACCAAGGAGTTCTTATACAAAAGAAATATTCGAATGCAAGCCCAAAAAACAATGAGATGCAGTAAGATTACTTAAGAAAAGAGGTATCCGTCCATTTATCTTTGTATTTTTTGGGAATAGGGAAGTCTGAGGACAACTTATGTGCACAAAATGCAAGGTGAGCTCTTTGAAGTTTCAGAAAAGTGATACTCCGCGTTCAGGTTTTAATTTATGTTTTTGAGAGTCAAATTTATCCAAATGAGGAGCTTAAGTTACTCGGGATGCATCTGAATGAAGTGAATACTCCAGCTTTGAACAGTATCGATCAGAATGCATCACACTATCCACCAGTGTTATCAAAAACGCAGAGCACAAATATGTATGTGTAGTCCAAGATTAAAAATAACAACCATGAATAAACTCCATACACCAAGTCTCTAACTAGACTAAGAAGTCTCTTAGCATGCACCAAAACTAGTGCAAGTATAACAGAAAAAAAAGGACTCCCTCGTTCCAATGTGTTTGTCTTATTTTTTTGGCAACACTTTAATTCTAACTTCACACGTGACATGTTTCAAACCACGAAATCAAAGACTAAAACTACAACACTCAAAAATCTTCTTTATTTTTTTAATGAACTCCATATCAAGTCAAAACCAGACAAATAAATTGAAAACAGAGGGAGTATAAGTATTATACCAACATCTAACTATTCGCATCGCCTCTTCCTTTATTTCCATTATGCTTTTCTAGCTAACTCTACATGGATTTTGAGATATTAAAGTTTTTTTAAGCAAAAATCCCACATTATGCTTCAGCTCTACCTCACTCCATTCTATGTTGCTCGGACTCTTTAAAAAGGATGCCGCCCTGTATTAGATCCTTCAAAAATAACTACTTTTGAAGGATCCGACACACACCCGTCAACATTTTCGAAGAGTCCAACCAACATAGATTCCATTTGCCATCTTCAATCATCACAGCATTGCACCTATGAACTAACTTCAGCTAACCTTATATCTCAATCAACAAGAGAGCTAAAAAAAAAAGAACCTTTACAAGAAATTGAGCAGCCTTACATCATCTAACTCAGAAAATCTACACACTCAATTGCTTCCAAACACTTAACCAGATTATAACAAGGGTTTAAGAGCAAAAGGGGTTTCACAAAATTGAGCAATGCACACAAAAAACAAACAACAATATCAAAACCATCAAAATCAAAATCAAGAAACAAAAGGGGTTTTTAGCAAAAGCTAACCTCAAGAGCTTGAGCCCATTGTTTTTTCTCAATATACTCAGAAAGAGCTTCAGTAATAGTACTAACCCAAGCTGTAGCATTACTCTTTCTATCCAATTTTTTCTTAATATTCTTTATGGGTGTTCTCTTACTGTTTTTGAAACCAGATTGTTCAGTGAATCCTGGGTATTCCCCTTGTTTCCAGTGCTTTTTCTTCGGAAATGCTACTGAAGAAGAAGCACGGCAACAAATCACGGCGGTGAGTGGCCGCCGGAAGTCGAAAAGACGGCGAAATTTACCGCCGGCGGGATGAATCAGAGGAGAGGGAAAGAGAGAAGATGAAGAAGATAAAGAAACGGAATTGTTTGCCATTTTTTTCTCAATTAAACATTCATTTTTTTTTCAAATATATCATGATATATATAAATATAAGATATTGTAAAAAATATATATTATTTTTTCATTTTTCCGTTCGAGTTCAATATCTATATTAAGATCCTCATTAATTCTACTTTGAATTCGAATGCTTAAGAACTATTTAGGAGGAAATAACTCTAATATAATTATTTTCATACTCGAACTCAAAATCTGTGATTTAATATGTGTTTTTGTTTGTATTAATGTAGGATTTATGTTTCATTTAATGTTTTTTACTAATTTTTTTGTTATAAATTCATTTTTAAGTTTGTTTTTACTTGTTGAAAACTTTGTATATAAACAAAGTCATTCAAATTATTCTCACTTACAAAAATAACTCTTCAATCTTTCATTAGCAACTAATATTTTTTTTGAAAAGAAAAAAAACTCTTTGTAACTTATGAGTTCTTGATTAACCACTCTATAAAACTCATTTTTAAATTTTAAAGATCATTTCTTATCACGATTTAACCTATTCTACACTAATACAATATGTTACATCATATTTTTCAAAAAAATATCTTTTATATGTACTTAATTAATCAATTTTATTCCTCTTCTATCTATATTTGATTATTCTTTTTACTTATTCAAAAATACTTATTTTCTTCTAAAAACTTGACTGAATACCTCAAATATCTAAATAAGATATTTTTTCAATAAATTAATCTTATGGCTAACATAAAAAAATGGAAGAGAAAGTGTTATTCCATTCCGTATGTACAGAAAACAGTGTGTACACACACTTTTTATCATTCATGTCAGTGCATGTGTATAGAAAGAGCAAGTCAAGGCCTAAAGGGTGGATGACAGAGACGCAACAACTAAGCCTAAACTATTTTCTCCCCTCATTCATTTTACTTGTAACATTTATCTTTTTAAAAAATTAAATTATATATAATATATATTTTAAATTAATTAAATTGACTTTCGAGAGCATAAGTGAGCTGAGGAAATTCTATTTATGACTAATAAAACCTATAATAAATATCACTTTTGTCTTTGCGTATTGATTTGAGTTTTTTGATTATTCTCTTTCCTTTTGTTGCTCTTTCAGTTCACAGATCAAAACCCTCCACACTTTCAAGAAGGTTAGAATCTTGGAAGAACTTCTAATTTTAAAGCCCCTTTTTACTTTTTTGGGAAATTTGGGGTTGTTTAGCTCATTTTCTGTAATTTTGTGTCTATATCAATCATGGGGTTGTTCTAATTTTTCAGTTTTGTGGAAAAAAATGTAACCCCAGTTGAAAAGATTGTTCCTTTTTCAGTTACAAGTTTCAAGAAAAGAAAAAGGATTGTTTTTTTTTTGTTTTTTCAAGATTATTTGCTGTGATTACACTTGGTATGTTGTTGTTGTGAGATTTTGTTAGAGTATGTGGATGTTATAATGTTTCTTGCTTTTACTAAATGTTTCTCTTTTTTTTTTGTGATGTCATTAGCTTTTACTGCACAGCTTTATTGTGGATCAATAAGAATCTGGAAATGTGTGGTTGTTGTTATACTGCTGTTTAGTGGTGTTGTTTCCTTGTTTTGAGACAATTTTTGTGATTTTTTGACTGTTTGAGTTGTTGTATTTTGTAGATTTTGTTGATTGAGCTATGAGCTGCTTCAGTTGTTGTGATGATGATGATATGCACAGAGCTGCTGATAATGGGCCATTCATGGCACACAATTCAGCAGGTTAGTTTCCTCCTTATACTGGGAATCTCTTTCGATTGTTTTCTTTCCGTTTTCTGGGAAATGGGATCCAACTATAGAAGATTGATATAGCTAAACAAACTAGTTTGTGGTTGAGGCATAGCAGTAGTAGTTGTTGTTAGTTTTGGGTAAGGGAAAGGTTAGGGGAGTGGAATTTGATTTCAGGACTTCTAGGCTTATGGTGAATACTTGAGCATTCTGGGTATCTATTTTGATTCTTTTTATTGTTTTCTGGGGAATGGATCCAAATAGAGTGGAATGAATATAGACGATTGATATAGCTAAACAAACTAGTTTGTGGTTGAGGCATAGCAGTAGTAGTTGTTGTTAGTTTTGGGTAAGGGAAAGGTTAGGGGAGTGGAATTTGATTTCAGGACTTCTAGGCTTATGGTGAATACTTGAGCATTCTGGGTATCTATTTTGATTCTTTTTATTGTTTTCTGGGGAATGGATCCAAATAGAGTGGAATGAATATAGACGATTGATATAGCTAAACAAACTAGTTTGTGGTTGAGGCATAGTAGTAGTTGCTGTTAGTTAGTTTTGGGTAAGGGAAAGGTTAGGGGAGTGGAATTTGATTTCAGGACTATTAGGCTTATGGTGACTACTTGAGCATTCCGAATGGATTTTGTTGTTGAAATATAAGAAATTCATGGAACTCCTAACTGCGGTATCAGTAAATTGGAAGCTCAAACATTTATTATGCTTGTATTTGACGTTTTCGTGGTCAGTTCTGGTTGGAGCCTTGTAAATTGATAAATGATCAAGTAAAAAGTTCAAGTCTTTCGTTGATTGCTTTGGGTTTCACCTATCATTTTGGACTCTTTTCTTCATCTAATGTCATGCTTTTGTTCAACACTTCTTTTTATTCATAATTTTCTATTTCAATCCACCCTAACTGGAGAACCTTTCTATAGGCAACAATGGAGGTCAGCATGCCACAGAAAGTGCACAAAGAGAGACACAGACTGTGAATATCCAGCCCATTGCTGTCCCTTCCATTGCTGTTGATGAGTTAAAGGATATCACTGACAACTTTGGTTCAAAAGCATTGATAGGCGAGGGATCATATGGAAGGGTATACCATGGTGTCTTGAAAAGTGGACGTGCTGCAGCCATTAAAAAATTAGACTCGAGTAAGCAGCCTGATCGAGAATTTTTAGCTCAGGTTAGCTCCACCCTATTATCTTTCATTTGACTATGTTATATTGCACATAACCTTTGTAACCTTGCTGGATATGATGCATGCAATTGCAGGTCTCAATGGTCTCAAGACTAAAAGATGATAATGTGGTTGAATTACTCGGTTATTGTGTGGATGGCGGTTTTCGTGTGCTAGCCTATGAGTATGCCCCGAATGGATCTCTTCATGACATCCTTCATGGTATGTGAACTATGCTATTGTCCGTACTGGAACCAAATCTTAATCTTATCCTTCTCATTAGTACTAAAACCTGTTGAGTCATCCATAATTCTTTGTGCATTTGGTTCCTCAAGCCATGATGAGTCAATTTTTAGCAAATTAAAAGAACCTGTCTCCGCAGCTTGTGTTCGGAAATTATTGTTATTCTATCCAACTATGTCAAAGTACATTTCAGACTCCACTTTAAGAACTTCATTAATGCACCATGCAGTCAATGGCCCCTTAACTAGTGGGGTCAATACTGCTTCATCCCAAATTCTGAAGCTCCTTTCTAATGCATTCTCTGACATGAAAAATGCCACAACTAAGAGTAAGTTTGCACCTAGATATCTCCATACGACCTTGCTTATTAAGAACCCATCAAATTCTTTTTCTTCTTTTCGCTTTTTGTTGTATATAATTCTCTCTGTAAAATATACTCCATTCAATTCCCATTTAACATGGTTTGAATAAACACTCAAAATTAAGAAATTAGTTAGATTTCATATTCTGTTGATGATAATATATAAAAAAAAAAGTATGTGAAATTGTTAAGAGGAAAAGTATGTGTAATTGCTTTAAATTCAACTGGTAAATCGGATTGATCAAAGTCCAAAAGCTGTATAGAATGCTATGACTTGTAGATTTGTGTTACACATTGGGGCCTCACAGAATGGAATGTATATGCTAAGTTAGGATAGAAGTATACAAGGTACCTAAATTTAGAATATTGCACCACAAGGTATGTATTCCAATGATAATGCACACAAAAAAATCCCACAAGGGACTTTGATCCCTGATTTCATTTATAGACGGTGACGTTGCTGTTATGCAAAGGGAAAAATTTATTAGCAATTTAGCATGTTGTATGTCAGTTGAACATTCAGTGAACCAGGATTTTATTTCGGTCCTTATTCATTTCATCTGTATTTTGCTATTTCTGGTATCTTTATGGATGTCTATTTTCTTCTGTATGTATAGCCAATTTGATTGAAGAGAATTGGAACTTCCCGTTGATATTTATTTTTTCTGTGCATGGCCAATCATGCTTTCTTTACAAGCTTTTTTAACAACTCTTGATGGTGGTAGTCTCAGCAAGTAAATGTGTTAATGTGTATCATGGCTACTGCTAAAACGTCGTTATGGGTGCGTATTATGAGGATGGATAAAGATAATGTCAATCTTAGAGTGCTTGGACTGGGAATTATACTTTTGGCTGCTCTCTTCAGTTTTTCTATAACATATTTTGTTATTTGCTGCAAAATGCATAATTTTCCAGTTTGTGATTGCAGGAAGAAAAGGTGTGAAAGGTGCACAGCCAGGTCCAGTATTGTCATGGGCTCAACGAGTTAAAATTGCGGTTGGGGCTGCAAAAGGACTGGAGTACTTGCATGAAAAAGCGCAGCCTCATATCATTCATCGTGATATTAAGTCTAGCAACATTTTACTCTTTGATGATGATGTTGCTAAGATCGCAGATTTTGATTTATCGAATCAAGCCCCTGATATGGCAGCACGTCTTCATTCCACACGTGTTCTTGGGACCTTTGGTTATCATGCACCAGAGTGAGTCCCTTTCTGAATGTATAATACAAATAAGCACATGCTTGGTTAACATATTCTTAGCTGATCTTCCCCATGACTAATCTAATATTCAACTGAAAGCAATGTTAGGCTTTAAGCTCATATTTCCAAAGTCATGCCTGATTATAGTTCACTTTAATCTGATGACCTACCCCACCATCACTTTTGAGTTGCAGATATGCAATGACTGGTCAGTTGAGTTCAAAGAGTGATGTTTATAGCTTTGGCGTTGTGCTCCTGGAACTACTTACTGGCCGTAAACCTGTTGACCATACATTGCCACGTGGGCAACAAAGTCTTGTAACTTGGGTATAGCCTTCTAGATTCTCAAATGCTTTATCTAATTCACCAGTATTGGATAATTCTCTTGATTTGTAAGCGATGTTATTCACTGTTGTAAACAGGCAACACCAAGACTTAGTGAAGATAAAGTGAAGCAGTGTGTTGATGCTAGACTAAATACAGATTACCCTCCGAAGGCAATTGCAAAGGTACGTGCACTCAAAACGAACGTCCCCTCAAGTATGTTAATTAGTAACCAAAATGACGTCTGAATAAGTGTAAAGATCAAATGTTTCATTATATTCAATCATTTCGGCTTGATTTTCATCAGCTCCATTTTCTTACATCTGCCATGCTGAAACAGATGGCTGCAGTTGCTGCCTTGTGTGTGCAATATGAAGCTGACTTCCGGCCAAACATGAGCATTGTTGTAAAGGCTCTGCAGCCTCTGTTGCCTCGACCTGTACCAAGTTAAACATCAAGCTTGTGAATTTTCTCCTTACCCCTGCCTTTACGTCATGAAATGAGAAAGATTGATATTGACATTGACATTGACATTGGTACGAGTCACAAGAGGATCGTGTATACGTGATACTGGTGCTCACCTGGACAACTACTCCACAACAATGTCACCTCCACCCCCCTTTTTTTTCTTCCTGTCGATTGAATGCCAAAGAAATTGTATATTCGCTGTAATGGAAATTGCTTTGCAGATTGATTTTCATGGATTTGTGTTGAGATTTTGAAATTCTACCAAGCCACAGTTATATTAGTAGATTGTAGAAGTTGTAGTTTTTGTTGTTACTGCTTTCATTTCCATATTCCCTTTTTCAAATTGTAGCTTTTGTATCAAAAACATCTCTATCTCTACGAGGTAGGGGTAAGGATTGTGTACACTCTACCCTCCTTGATCCCACCATTGTAGTTTGGCTTTGGCCTACAATGGGTTCCTCTTGAACTGCATTTCATTTCTTGGAAAGACAATTAGAGTCTATTGATGCTGAGATTATACTTGCCATCCAACTTGCAATGATGTTTGGTATGAAAAGGCCACAAAGTTTGCAGGAATATTTTACCATTGGCAAGAAGAAAGGTAACAACATTTATGAAATAGGAAAAGTTTCATTGTCATCCCACAAGTTTTTGTTTAGTGGAAAGAGTTCAACTCGTCTTTCGAAAACAACCTCCCTACCTCCACAAAGAGGGATTTCACTGGGTATGTTGTTGGAAAGAGTGTAACATGTGATGTGCAGATTATACACTTTTAAACTTTGTTGCAAACAAAAGCCTATTTAAGCCAAGAAAGGTAGAGGAACAAATCCATTGTTTATCGAGTTTCGAACCATGCACCAGTACATTTTCCATAAGCATTGTTTCTTTTGCAACAATTCTTGAACATTCATCAAGTGCTGAAGTTATTACAGCCCAAGAAAATAGAACAAAAACTAATGGTTTTCTTCATAAACAATCACAAATGAAACCTTTTACATCTCTTTTGCTGAAAGGGCATGTCAAGTTGTCAACTATCTATACATTACCCATATCTGTAAAGAACAGAGTCAAAAATGAGGAATTTTTATATACCAACTCAGTGACTCTGACTTTCATACACACAAAAAATGATTATCTCAAACATCTACTACCATACTGTAAGACATACCAAATGGAAGAAAATACATATATGTATGTATATGGCTCTTTTTTGTGCCATTCCAATCATTTCAGCTCACTGTAACTTTTGTAGTTCAAGTTTATGCATTTGTTCGATGATCGCTTCTAGTTTTCGTCATCAAAATTGGTCTATCACTGCTATCTGTAGACTTCCGATTATGAGATTCTGTTTCTACAGCACCTGCCTGATTCTTTCTCCGTCTTCGTCCCTGGAAGACCAACAAGTTAAGATTATACACAACTTTCCAACCAAATAACTAAGAAAATCTTTGGATAGTATATCACCTCTCGTGGTATCGGATATTCCTCAGATTCAAGCATTCGAACGACTTGACTCATTGTTGGCCTCTTATCAGAATCTGGATCAAGACATCTTAAAGTAGTCAGTAGAGCTCGTTTAAGGGCGGTTGTGGAAGGCTTTGTTTCGATTGTTGGATCAACTACTTCCTCCGAGCGTTTGCTGCCAACCATCATCTTGAGCCAGTCAACAAGATTCACCTGTATACACCAAATAAATAGCATATCAGCACAACAATTACAATGGTTGATGAAGTTGCTGAAAACCATGGAGATCAATGTTTAAATACTAATAATAACATTGGAAGAGCATACCTCGGGAGCAGGGCGACCATAATCCACAGGATCTCTTCCAGTGATGGCTTCCAGAAGCACAACACCGTAGCTGTACACATCACTCTTTTCATTCAGGAGACCACTATTTGCATACTCAGGAGCTACATATCTGTTGTGAGGAAGTTGGCCAAACATAGGGAAGCGTTTAGTGATGACTAAAGAAGGATATTCGACTAACACGAGGTGTAGAAAGAGAATAAGCTCATCCAAGATAGCTCTATAAATGTACTTACCCGAAGGTGCCCATAACTCTGGTTGTAATGTGACTCTTCCCTGCACCTAGCAACTTGGCCAGGCCAAAATCAGAAATTTTTGCATTGAAGTCATCATCTATCAATATGTTGCTTGACTTGATGTCACGATGCACCACCTTGGGCTCAATTGCCTCGTGTAAATATGCAAGACTACAAGTATAAAAAAACATTAATAAGAGAACCAAAAAAAAGTACTCCTTCCATCCCAATTCAAGTGTCTTACTTTCCTTTTTAACCCGTCCCAAAAACAATGCCTCTTTCTATATTTAGTAAGTTTTCCAATTCCAACATTCTACATGGAACATTAAGACCACAGGATTTAAAGATTCAAAAGTCTCCCTTTGGTTCCAAACTCCGTGCTCAGTCAAACTAAGACACCTAAATTGGAACGGTGGGACTTGGGAGTATGAGATAGTAAATGCTAAGTTGAAAATAGAAGAAAACTCACGCTTTAGCAGTGCCAAGGAGAATCTTCATCCGTGCTTCCCATGTAAGATATCCGTGTTGTTGCATAGCTCCATGTAGCCACTGCTCTAAATTCCCATTGTTTACGCACTCATAAACCAGTAACCTGAATAAAACAAGGATCACCATACAAAGTGGCGTCTGAAGTGTTAATACTGAAAAACTATCTCCACTTATTGACACAAGATAAAATATGTCTCTTAGCAACATGAAGAAAAGAGTACCAGAAGCCTTTCTCTTTTCATGTTGTACTAAAGAAGGTAAGCCTAGCATATTTGCCAAAACTAAAGAATATAATCCAACATCAGCCGCGAGAGAGGATGGTGGAATATCGATTTTCCTATTCCATAATATCACATGAAAAACTTATCCTTTCCTTCCTTATTTCCTACTCTAGGAGATGACGATTGAATCTCAAGCTTCAACAAAAAAGTGCAGTTACATTGCTAGATAGTACTCCCTCCGTTTCAATTTGTTTGTTGTACTTTCCTTTTTAATCCGTTTAAAAAGAATGTCTCTTTTCCTTTTTGGCAACTCTTTAATTTCAACTTTATACGTGGCATGTTTAAGACCACAAGATTAAAGGATATTTTGGTACATTCTATATATCTTTAATTTAAGACCAGGAGATTCACAAGTTCTCTTTACTTTCTTATACTCGGTGCCAAGTCAAAACCAGACAAATAAATTGAAACAAAGGGAGTAAGTTACTGCTGCCTATATGATGTAATGAAGAGAAACGAAAGAGTTTTAAAAAGTGTACCTGTGAGTTCCTTCAATACAGTAGCCCAAAAGTCTAACCAAATTCTTATGTCGGACATGACCGATGGCCTCAACTTCCACTTGAAATTCTTTCTCTGCTTGTCCTCTATAGATGAAGGACCCCATAAGTCAAATATTTTTATATATATGCAAGTGAGGAGACAAATTATTGAAGTAACAATAGAAGACTATCGAAACTTACAGATTATTCAATAGTTTTTTAACAGCAACTTCAGTTCCGTTAATCAGCTGTCCCCGGTAAACAATGCCATAACCACCCTCTCCAATGATGTTACCCTTAGCTATCTTGTTGGTTGCAGTTTCAAGGTCCCTCAGAGTAAACCAATGGCCCCCAACCTAGGTGAGAGAACTCAGGCAAACCAGAGAGAGGGGACGGGACATTCGCAGGATGTGAAGGATGATTTACTGTTCCGGCAACTCCCTTTTCCCCGGACTCAAATGTTCTGTCTTTGTCTAAATAATTAAATGAGCCTGATTGACTATTAATGTCAAAATCTTTCATCTTGTCAATATTTGAATGTGCCAAAAGCTTATCGGAATCTTTCTCACAGTATGTGTCTTGAAATGCAAGGGGATTCCTATAGTGGCTCCCATAGTTGCTTGCTGAGTTTTGATCAACTCTTATTTCTTTGCACACAGAAGGAATTTTGCTTATGGGTAGTGTATCATGAGATTTTCTTGATTTTTTACGAGAAGAACAAAACGGCAGCAGCAAAAGAATTACCACAATAAAAAGTCCAACAAAGATGGCTAATAAAACCCACACCTTGAGATGAAATATATGAGTTTTCTTAGACAGTTCGAAATTAAGGTCAGATGCCATCTTATTGAAACCTGCAAACTCGAAGATATGAAAATCAAAAACCAAAAAAGAAGAAGAAAAACATAAAGGCAAACAGCTCCAAATTGAACTAGCATTCATGCATTTCAATCAACTATGCCTCAATTTCCAACATATTTGGTTCTATTCGGCCTATTTCGTTCATATACTAGTATATAATTAGTCTTTTAAGGTAAACTCAAGATCTTCTTGACTAGAGGTTCTCAAAATATCACACTTATTCCTATACTAACAACCAGACTAATATACAAAGCCATTTAAATGTAACAACAACCAGTCTTTAATCACAAGTAGTTGGCATTGCCTATCATGTATCTTATACTCCCTCCGTTACAATTTGTTTGATCTACTTTCATTTTTAGTTCATTTAAAAAAGAATGACCGTTTCCTTTTTTAGCAACTCTTTAATATCAAGTCTCCACGCAACATGTTTAAGACCACAAAATTAAAGGGCATTTTGATACATTTGACATATTTTTAATTTTAAACCACAAGATTCAAAAGTCTTCTTTACTTTTTTAAGCTCCGTGCCAAGTCAAAATAGGTCAAACAAATAGAAACGGAGGGAGTATTTGTTCATCTAAAAAGGAAACTTTAACTACCCTAATGTATGTGTAGAACTTCATTAACAGGCAGTAAATCAGGAGACGATCAAAGTTTCAGACACACCAGCAGAGGAAATGCATTCAATAAATAGATCTCCATTTAATTACCCGATAACTACTAACTCGTAGGAAGTAAATAAGAGGAGGGCACGAGGTCAATCAATCAACTATCTTTGAATCCAAAATTATTTGAAAGCTGCTATATGTATCCTCTGTATCAATTCCAGTACATAGAGGATTCTCACTATAGTTAGATTATGTTTACACTGACATCAATATGCCACATCGGTTTTTACAAGCTCGGACAAAGGCAGAGTTATGAGAGAAAAAGAGCATGATGTTAATTCCATTTAGGAAGCAGAAAGAAATATTATACTTAACTGAATAGGAAATAAGACCAACTTCAGGAAAAGATTCAAACTTCCAATGCTAAATCAAGTGTTCAAGCTCACAGAAACACATAAATGTACAAAAGATTCAAACTTTCAATGCCAAATTAAATGCTAAAGCTCACATAGACACATAAAATGTACAAGAGATTCAAACTTCCAATGCTAAATCAAGTGTTCAAACTCACAGAATCACATCAAATGCACAAAAGACTCAAACTTCCAATGCTAAGACACAAAATATGTTCAAAAATTCAATCTTTACACTACCATAAATATACCACAAAGGTAGGTAAGGATTATTACAATAAATGCATGCAGATTATATAGTTCTTCAATGTAGAAGAAATCAAAGTCAAAGATTCAAACTTTCAATGCTAAATCAAGTGTTCAAGCTCACAAAATCACATTAATTGTACAAAAGATTCAAACTTTCAATGCTAAATCAAGTCTTCAACCTCACAAAATCACATTAAATGTACAAAAGATTCAATCTTTCAATGCTAAATCAAGTATTCAAGCTCAAGCAACACATTAAATGTACAAAAGATTAAATTTTACCTATTTATGATGAGATCCCACAAGTAGAAGTAAGCCTCTACCAACACTACACACAACCTCTACTCACTACAATGAAGAAAAATCCAAACCCCAGATCTCTTATACTCCTAAAATCCCCAAACCCCATTTGGGAAATGAAGCCATTTTCAAATCAAGAATCCCATTTCTCAAATATGCAAAAATACCAAGAAAACAAAAAAAGGACCCTTTTAGAAATGGGAAAATAGACCTTCCTTAATTGAAGCATATGCCTAAAGGAAACCTTCCTTTGAAGTAAAAGGCAAAGAGAAATCTCAACAAAGAAAACATGAAATCTTGGGATGGAAATGTGGGGTTATTATCAGTGTTTGGTAATGCTTTGCTATGCAGTAAAATAGAAGCATGAAAAAAGAAAAGTTAGTTTTTTGGCTCAAAATGATTTTGAAATTGAGTCTACTAATGAATGTGATTGATTATCAAGAATCTCTCAAATTAATACTGGAGACAAAGTAATTGGAGTACCAGACTTGCAGTGCTCTGCAAATGCAGCTTCCTGTCTCTTGGGATATATATATTAGTAGTATTATAATGGTTCTCCGTCCCAATTTACGTGATATCGTTACTTTCGAAATTTATGGTCTAAAACAAAAAATTTAAATAATTTGTGTTGTTATAAATCATATCTGTCCAATCTAAGTCTCTTATTTTCTTTTATGGTTTATCTAAAAAAAAGTGTTTCTTTCCGTCTTTAGTAAGTTTTCTAATTTTTACGTACAAAATGGCAGGTTTAAATTTAATTTTTTTTATTTTATTTTAAATTTTTTATATCGGATTAAACTAAGATACTTAAATTGGGACGGAGAGAGTAATAATGAATAATTGGCTAGTGAGTCAAACATAAAATAAAGTTGATGTAGTTACAAATATTATTAAGAAAAGAAAAGAGGGTTAGTGGGTATTAATAATTAAAATTAGATGTAATGAAGAGTGGAAAGGGACAGGCAATGACGCAATTTGAATGAAATTTATTGAGACACATTATTATTATTATGATAATAATAATAATAATAATAATATAATTACACTTTTGATCCCTCAAAATAGTGTTGAGTTATGGCTTTGGTCTTTATAATATTAAACTTAGGTTCATTTAATCTTCAACTAATTGAAATATGTGTTTCTTCACTTTATATAAGGATTATATAATTATAATATATGTCATATCTAGAGTAGTTGTAGAATTATATCACCCATAGATATAGAGTAATCACATAATTTAATATAATATATAGATAATTACTAATAGTTTAGCATTTAATAATTTGAAAAGATTCATAATGGATAGCTAATTTTAGAATGAATTTATCTTATATTCGTTGGAATAAAATTGCTGAATAAATTATTTTCGAATTGTATGTAATTTTTATCCCATATGCAAACAACGAACTGACATCACCGCAATTCGAACATTTCATCTGAACATTCAATCGATAGGAGCGAGTGATGTCCAAAAGATTAGGATATAATCAACACAACCTAATGGCTCGCCCTTACTAGAAATTCCTCGTTAAAGACTAATAATAAATCTCGAAATAACTTATTTTCCGATCAAACTGCCCCTTATAGTTAATGTCCTTATAAGTAGGTAGTACTATAAACAATGGACACACCCAGGCCTTCTCAACTGTCAATCACTTTGATTTCTTAAAAAAATCATGAAAATTGTGAATTTCCATATTTGCATTTATTAATTATTTTGATTGTTTAAATGTGGGGTTAGCAAGTCAAAAAAGAAAATATAAATAAGACTTGGACGGTTGTTGAATGTCTTTTTAGAAAAAATATTATATGTCGACCAAATTTAATATTTTGACGGTGGCAATACCAATCTATTTTATGACTATTATTTAAAACTAAAGTATTTGTCAATTTATAAATTATAAAATTATGATAAAATTAATTAACAAATTCTCATATCGTGTTTATTTATATTTGTTGTAGAAATAATTGTCTATTCAATGGCGAAAGTATTATGTTGAACTAACACTCACTACAACAAAGATCTTTAGCGATAATTAATTAATGAAAATAGCCCAATAGCCTCTAAATATGTATTTTTAACGACAATTAACACTCTTTGTATATGTCCATAAAGCCTTTAGCAACACTGAATCTAATGACATTTAACTAATGCCGGTCAAGACTTTAGCACTCTTTATTAATGTGTCTATTTATTGCCGCTTAAAGTTATTTTTGTTGTTGTGACCAACACTGACACTGAAAAACGAAAGATAAGAAAGTGGTCAGATTAGATTTATGTCAATAATAAGTTAGAAAAATACACGCGCATGAATCAACAACGAATAACACTTCAAAAAATTTAACAATTTATTCGCAATTACTATCACAAGAAAATCTCATGGTCACAAATGAATACTGTAGTGGTTGTTACTAATGCATTGTACACATAAAATCTGATTATGTCCTATGGAAGGTGATGACTGTCCCCATAACCCCCTCTGGGCGAAGTCAGGTAAGATTCAGATGATTTATTCGAATCACCTTCAATAAAAAAGAATATAATATTATTTATATATGATTAAAATTATTTTTTGATATATATAATAGATGTTGAATTTTAATTGATTTCACTTATTTTGTGTTTTCAATGAAAATTCTAATTCCGTCGCTGCTACTCGATATGTCTTAACAATATCATATATATTGGAGATCTCTATATATTAATGGTTTGTTGTGAAGATAAGCTTTTTAGGTATTGATTTGGTAGGTGGGAGTCATAAAAGTATAATGTACCATTCGTGTTGTGGGTCACCAATGTACATTTCTATGAAGGTTGCAATTATTAATAATAATAATAATTATGTATATTTTATAAGATTAATAAGGACGAATTTAAAATTTGTGAACAGTTTCAACGATTTCTTGCTTGTCACCAAACTTACAACTTATTTATGATATTAGGTACAACATGAATAACATCATATTTAGTATAATTTCATGAGTAGATCTAGAAAGAGTCGGATATATACATATTTTATATTTATCTTTGTAAAATAAAGGGTTGTTTTCGATAGATCCGTGACTCAAAAGAAAAATTTGTGAAACAAATTTACAAGATTAATATGATAACAAAACAGCAACATACAAAGTAAATTAAGCAACATGTAGTAATACGCAATAAAGAATAAGTGATAACATGACTACTAATTAATAACCTCCGACCTCTTCCCACACATAGTGTGTCGCCCTCAGTTACTTACTATCCCTATTCTCGATCTCGCTCCAAACCTTCCTATATAGGGTTATGTTCATAGTAAACTAAAGTTATGGACTTATGACATGTCTTATCTAATTACCCAACCCCAAATCCCTACGTCTCCAACCCCAATTATTTCTCGAGTGTACCTCTATCTTTTTTGACTCCTGAAGGTAACCTATCGCACCTTCTTATCGGCGCTCATGTTCCAAACTACATTCTGTTTTTCAAAGATGTACAATTTCTACAGTGTGTAGAATTGAGAATTTTCTTGAATATAAGACTATAGTCTTAAATGTGTTATTTGGTGTCTATTTCATTTTCGACCAGGCAGGAAAAAGTTGCCGCAAAATTTGAACACTTACTAGTCTAATATTATGTGTCAATAATTAATAATTATGTTTCAGTCGCGAACAAGTTGAAATTAGTCATACGAACAAAAAATACTTATATATAGTTTGTATCGTTTCATGTAATAATCTTATGTTTGTTCAATATTCTTCAAAGCAAGTGTTTATAACGTACACTAGAAATTTTTACTATATTTTATACTGATATAAAATTTTTGATAAGACTAAAACATTTTTTAAAATATCGAACCTAACGTAAATATACTAACATGAAACTAAACCCTTGTTAATTTGATTGATTATATACATTTGTTTCTTTCATGATGGTTCTTAATAGGTTTACAACAAAAACTAATGTAATTTTAAGTTGATTTTATCACTTTTAACCATTATAAGTTACCCTAACAAACTGATGCATTTGGAGTTTAATTTGGAGATCGACTTCAGACATGACTGAATTTTCACAAGCGATTTTTCCAATTTTATCATCTATGTATGTTATTTGCACCTTCTATCGATTGTGACAGTTTTTTTAAAATCTTGTCTAATTTTATATAACCGCGATGAATATACCTCTTAATATATTTATAAATATTTTAATATTCTACATACACCTACTGATTATGTTTTATATTCATCACTTATATATTATGTAATATTCTTCATTATGAGATTGGGTTTTGTTGACTAATGAAAAGACAAGGGACCCAATAACTTAGCTATCAATTAACCATATTTGATAACATACCATTAGCATTATTAATTTTATAGTATTAGCATTATTAATTTTATTTTGTCCTTTTTCATTAGGATTAGACCAAATTCAACCACATAAACATAATTAAACAACCAATCATGTGCTCAATTGCTACTTTAAATTGTATTAGAATTATTAATTTTATTTTGTCCTTTTTCATTAGGATTAGACCAAATTCAACCACATAAACATAATTAAACAACCAATCATGTGCTCAATTGCTACTTTAAATTGTATTAGAATTATTAATTTTATTTTGTCCTTTTTCATTAGGATTAGACCAAATTCAACCACATAAACATAATTAAACAACCAATCATGTGCTCAATTGCTACTTTCAAGATACGAGATCCTATCCATCCTATATCGCGATCTTTGATAGTCTAACTGATTAAATTTTAGCAACAATTTTCGAGTAATCCCTCCAAATATTTTAAATTTTGAAAGCAAAAGCTAGCATAGGAGTATAATAAACGTAACATGATCATATGATTATATGAAAATGAAAAGTCAAAAACCATATAGTATAAAGAAAAAAAATGAAATGATTAAAAACATCTCAGCCTACTTCGACCAAATCAAGATTGATCAAATATGTTAAATCTTTCGTGTTTGGGACAATAGCTATAGAACTAGTATGTGATGTTCCTTTTAATAGTTTTTTTGTTTATATATATAATAAAAAATAACATTGGTATCCGAGTCAACATACTTCAACTACTCCATTTTATCTGTTATCTTCTATCAACATGAGTACCAAATAATTCTACTCATCCAAACTTAAATTTGAGAAGTTAACCGATGTTTGTGCAAGTGAAAAGTACCAAGAACCCGATAAAATAGTCGAAGTGCATGTAAGCACATTCAATTACCGCCATTATGAGTACCAGATAATTCTACTCATCCAAACTTAAATCTGAGAAGTTAACCGATGTTTGTGCAAGTAGAAAGTACTCGATAAAATAGTCAAAGTGCATGTAAGCACATTCAAATACCGCCATTATGAAAAATAAACACTCATTAAGTTTGTTATTGTCATTAATGAATAACGAGAGTGACAATTCTATAAATCCACATACTTTAAATTCTGAATCCATCTGTGTCCCAAGCGTCATGCTCAGAGGGTCTTATCTGTAGTTTCAAGTTATCGAAGGGGTAGTGATGACAAATGGGCGGGTTGGGTCAAATTTGGGCGGGTTGAAAATGGGTAATAATTCAACCCGCCCGTATTTGATATGGGTAAAAATCGATTGGGTAAAATACTAGTTTACCCATATTTTCATGAGTAAATAGTACTCTACTTAAGAATTCAACATGGAGAAAATATTTTAGTCTTTTTTTTAGATGAAAAATGTTGAAAATGCTTCATTTAGTTTTATTATATCATAAAAGTAAAAAAAATCCTATAACTTTTCAATATAAAATAAATTTATATAATAACAAGGGAACATATTTTTAATTTCAAAATAAATGAATATTTGCATTTTAGAACAAAAACATGCTTAATGCACTTTAAACAATGTCAATACTAGTACATGATTTGCTTATTTTACACTATTATTTATTATCCAATATAAAATTAAACAAATAAAAAAATATAATTATAATTAACAAAAGAAATGTACATTTAAAATATATATTTTTGGAGGGCCAAAGACTTCACCTTTTCAATTATAGAGAAAAATAATTAATTTTATTGAAGAACATAAAAAGGAAGAGAAGTTACAATATTTTGGTGATATCATGAATTTTGAGTAAATAAAAGTTAGAAGCTTAACCCATTTGGCTAATCCATATTTTACCCACATTTTTATCGGGTTGAACGGATTACCAAAACATGGAGTCATTTTGCCGGCACTAGAAGGGGGAAGTGCACTGCAAATTTACACTATGATCATTCTTCAGAACTGTCCTCAGAGACAGTTAGAACCATGGATATTTCTCTAAGTTCTTGTGTTATAGCAATTTCAAATCACCAAGGGGTGAGGGGGGTAATGCCACCATTGGCTCCAGAAGAAGGATTTAACATTTCAAAGATAAGTAAATAATCGTAACTCGTTCACATAGTTGTCTAATTCGACATCAAAACGCCATTGTTGGACATACATACATGAAGAGAAAAGAAATAGCATATGAGTAGTATATTGGTGTTCTCTTTGTCTGCTTGCAACTCTTCTAACACTCCAAGAGGTTACAGAATGAATCCAATGCACCATAAAATGCAAGAAAAAGGCGAATACAAGACAAATATTGTGTAAGATTTACATAATCGAAAATGGAATGGAATGGAATGGAAAGGAAAAAAGAAATGCACAACAGAGCAAATACGGTATGCACAACTTAGACAGGGGATCACAGTAAACGAGCAGCTCTCCACGAATAGCATTCCTCTGATACTTCTTTACAGTGGTACCATATAGAAAATTGGATGGATCCGTCCTTTAAGATTTACATGAAATCTTGTCCAGGCCTTAGATATAGCAATCTCCTTGCAGGTGCAGGAGGTGCCAGTCCGGGGATATCCCTTATATCCTTGTTGTGAGGATTCACAATCTGAAAACACAAGAACAGAGAAATTCAGCAGTAAAACACAGTATCTACATGTAGTCAAGTAAACGCTTAAAAGATTGCAGAGTTCTAGGCAGAAAGTGGCTAAGAGTACTCAGAGCTTGAAGATATCACCCCCTACAAGCAACACTTGTGTAGTAGATATGAGCTCTTTTATGCATCAACATATACTCTTGAGTTGAAAGACGCAGCAAAGATATCTATGATATGTTTGTTATTTTGTTGAGAAGGTAACATATTAGCATATAGATATAAAGTTGGACTTCCGCTTCAAAACTGTGGGAGTCCCCCATAATTATATGATATGTTTATTTACTTAAACTAATCCATGGTATGAGAAACTACCTTCACAACAATTATGGCAACTACACCACAGACAATGAGGAAGAGGAAAAGCATGATGCATTTATCCGTGGCAACCTGAAAAAGTTGGGAGCTAGATTAATTAATAAAAAAAGATGAAAGAACACAAAACACTTAAATATGGGGATTTTACAACATACCTGCCGTCCAATTTCCTTGACAAGCTGGGAAGCTTTTTTAATGGAGAAGTGAATTGTGTCAAGCTCGTTGACAACACGACCCATTTGATCAGTCTACATAACAAAGAGACTACAAAAAATTAGATGGATATTCTAAGACAAAACAAATCAAAGGAGATGAATAATTGCAATGATACTCACTTGGCCTTTCAAGGTAGAAGCAGTTTGTGTTCCCACTTCAATTGTTTGGTGAACAACCTACAGAGTAGAAATAAGCTTAAGATACGGATGGTAGATATGCTGAAACAACGTTAAAATGAACTACTGAACCTGTTTGGAGCGTTCAATGGCTTGATCAGTTTCATCCATTGTCTTATTTCCAGCACTGATGAGCTCCTGATTTGACATTTCTGCAAGAAGATTAAAATGAATGAGAAGACCAGTATAGCGAGTCCACAAGTAGCTTAGATGCATTCTCAGTTCAGATTCTTCTCTACAACTAAGGAACGTGAAATTGGAATCCTCAGTAATCATGAATCAACAGGCGCAGTGAGTTTATACCCTCGGCCCTTTGTTCTTTTAAGTCATGGATTTAAGGAACAAATGTAGTTGAATGAACAGCAGGTGGATTACACATTCAAGAGTGCCCAAATATGTGTTTTTTAGGGTCACTAGTATAACATAAAGCCATGCATATTAAGATCGACACTGGGAAATCTAACAAAAATAACTTCAAAGAAATGCTTCCATCTGAAAGTTCAAGAATAATTGGAAAAGAGAAGCTGGGAAAACAGAGTCAGAACTCAGAACCTTACAAATATGCTCCCTAGAATAATTGGAAAATAAATGTTTCCATCTGAAAATCTAAGAATAATAGGTTATTGTTCCAACCTGATGCCATCTGAGCGTTTTCCTCCGCTGTTGGATCACTTCCACCTGCTCCCATATCAAATAGTTCAACCCTCTTATTGCCAAGACTGCTCATATACCTGCATCCCAGCCAATTGAATGAGGTAACAAAAACCAAACGTTTATTTATCAAAGAACCTGAACAAACTAGATAATGAAGGAGCAACATCAGGTTTTAGGAACTCTTTTCTTGAGACTAATTTAGATTTCATTAGCCATATTTCTCTTTAACTTTCTAAATACTTCTTTAAAATGTGGATTCATAGTACTTTTGTATAGTTTCCCAATGAAAGAAATTTTCTTCTCAAGAAGTCAATCCAATTGATGTCAGAAACAAATCCCAAAATTTGACGGTTTTATCTTCGTGGACGAGCCATGTCATTCATTTTTTGTGGAAGGAGTGACTTTATTGAGTAGAGAGGGCCTATTGATGTATAAGGGATTGCAGCCTTGAGTCGGCGCTTGTGTATACACATTATATAATTCGCAAACAAAGCCATGCAAATGTAAAAGTTCATTAACATATCCAACTTCCAAACATTTTACACAACATGTGAAACAGCATGCAAGTTGAGACAAAAGAGAAGAAAATTTTCTGGGAGCAGAAACCAGAGTGGAAAAAAGAATAAATTTGTTGAGAACTCACGTTTTTCTCAAGGCCACATATGAGTTTAGCTCTTTGATCTGCAAAATTAAAAAAAATTAGAGCAGTGTTCCACAGAACTGGTATGTGTAATATTAGTATAGTGAATCGACCAAACAAATGTGTAGTCTCGCAAAGGCAGTGCCCAAAATTCATATCAGCCACCCACATATCTTGATCACTTTGCAACAGCCTCTTTATGTATATCCAAAGTGGAATAGTGAAGTTTGCAATTGATAAAAAAGGCACACACCAAAAGACAATAACATGATGGTTTTGAAGTATATGTATAGGATCCGTTGTCTCTGTGTTATATGGATCACAGAAAGCTTGATGGTAAAGCAAAACATGGAAAACAAGAAGGAAATGAGAGTGACACCAAAGCTGCAAATTGCAATGCCAATTAGAAACTCATTTCTCATCGAGTAGCCCTATTATTGAAAGTTAAGTTACACAAAACATCACAAAAATTGTTTCTCTTTCAAAGGTAATGGACACTTATATTTACAACGGCAGTGTCATCATGCAGTGCACGGGAAGGGAAATGGATGAAAAGAAGTTAGCACAGGTTCACAGAATAAACTAAGATAACCATCATTGGAGTACATGTGCTGCTTACCACTTCAAGCTCAATTGAGATCCCCAATAAACCCCTTTTCTTAATAAGAGATCCAACTTACCATTGATTGCTTCTCATCATTGAGTTGTTTGTTGACCTCAGGAGGACTTTTACTCTCCTCATCTTTAATCTCACGATCAAACTCTTTAACTAACCTAAAAGAAGAATGGGAAAGTAAAAGTATTAACAATCACCCTAACATGGAAACTAATTATTCACTACCCAAGAGATAATTCACGAACCACCATTATTTCTGATGAGAGAGTACACACTCTAAGTCTAATAACAATATTAAATAGAAATAAGAAGTTGAAAACAGCAGTTTAAATTCAAGACCAAATAAATACTATAATTACTTTTGATCAAGATAAATACTACTACAATTTATTTTGGTAGGTATTGAGGACTTTTATTCGGCTGAGACATAAATCCAGTATTCTAATAGCTGGAATTCCTGATATACATTTTGAAGGATCAAATGTAAATTTTCAAAAAAAAAATGGAAGGACCAAACATTTCACCGGTAAAACGTGTGTATTTCCAGCTATAAAAGTATGAAATTAGGTAAAAGATAAAAAAAAATTGTTACCTTTTACACTCTCTCATCTTTCCAGTAAGTTCTTCCAACTGTTTACTCTGTCTATTGGAATCTTTGATCTTATCCAGCTTTTGAAATCCATTTCTGAGGAAACACAGAAAAAGATGTGCAAATTAGTGTACATTTCATGAAAAGAAATGATTAAGGACATGCACATGCATGCTTGTTAAGGAACCGAAATGTTATACGGAAGAGAAGAGCACCACAAAGCACTTCCCAGTATAGAGACAGAATCACAGAAAAGAAGTTTTGATATAGATAATGAACGACATGCTGCAAAAGTAACAACTACTACTGCTATGCCTTAATGTCAAGCTAGAACAGGTCGGTACCATGGCTAAAACAAACGAGTTAACTAACATATCTTTGCAGATCTTATTCCAACCTTTCTCGATCCATTAAACTAATGTATTTGTTTCAAGTAAAGATGCAGAAACAAATAGCAATTTGTTTTTTTACACTGCAAAGTGCTGCACAACTGTGGGACATTTTTCCAGCTATGATAGGTTTGAGTTCGACAATGCCAAGAAGAACTCTGGATTTTTTGTAAAGCTGGCATAAAAGTGGAAGAATAACAGAACAGAAAAGAAGATAGGTCATAATACCGGCCTGTATATGGAGGACTATATGGACAGAGAGGAACTCACGATGTTTTAAAGATAAGAGAAACTCAATCCAGAATATACAATTAAATTGTATCATGTTGTTTCATTTTTGGTGAAAACAAGAGCATATAGATGACACTGAGTCCCTATTACAAGTACTAGAGTGCCCGTAAGGAAGAATACTTTTGGTAATCTTATATCTCCGTGAATATGGCTCACACAGCCTTTTGTGCATTTAAGGATATAAAAGTTGTTACCATTTTTTTAAAAAATGTATTGTTTCCAAGTACATCCACAACCTAAAAGTGTGATTTAGTGGTCAATGAGGTGGGAGGAGAACCAATGAGATCTAAAATTCAAATCTCGATGGAGGCAAAAAAACACTAGGTGATCGCACTTGCCTAAGCCTTGGTGGGCGAAGTTACCCACTACCTATGATGGTAGGAGCTAGCAAGTACTCAGTCGAATAGATGAGGTGAGCGCAAGTTGGCTCACACACCACCGTCATTAAGAAAAAATACATCCTTTTTATTAATAAGAAGAAGGCGCTTTCCGCTCTGAGGTTGATAAACTAGTTTGTACATGAGCTAGTGTTGGGGGGGAAATGTACATTGTTTAGTGCATTATATAATGATCTAGAAAATTTCAATTAGGCATGTATTCATAGTCATATAAATCTTTCAATATTTTACCATTTATCATATCAACCTTCAATATTTTACTACTTTAACCATAGCTACGACAAGCACTATAATGGACAGAGAAGAAAATAATACTTATGGACAAAATGGATGACATACGAAAGCATTAAATTCGGGATATCACAATAATCTATAGTGTGTTATTGTTCCAAAGTACAGCACTTCGTAAACGGACCAGTTTATCCATTAAGATGGTTCATTTAGCAATAGCCATCAAAGAACATAGTCAATTAACTTAGGTCCTTATATTCTGAATGCATAAGCTTATTTTTTTTTTTGATTTGCACCGGGTGTCCGAGTCTCTTTGAGCCCCGACTAATCCCGAGGGTGCACAGGCCCTCGGCAAGGAGTTTCCCGCAAGTGCACCACGGTTAATTTAGGTTTTACCCAGTCCGATGGCCCTCAGAAATTGTTTGCACCCAGTGGGTTTCGAACTTGAGACCTTGAAAGGGAGCAAACCCCAAGGCTCAAGTCAATTGCCAGCAGGCCAACCCCTGAGGGTTATTTGACTAGCTAAGCTTATTTGACTAGCTAAAATGGTAAAAGGGGCTCCGACAGCATGAGCAGTAACTCGATAGTCATTGGTCACAAAAAAGAGTTTAAGCTACTATAACAACTTAGCAGATTGGCTAACCAACAAAAATAATGACACGGAGGATAATGAATCCATGATTGAAATTCATGAAATCTTACAAGACATCTACCCAGAGCTCCGCCATGAACTAACTTAAATTTCTACTGAAACCCCCACCTCATCCAACTTCAAATCAATCAATTAACTAACTCTCAGTGAAACTAGTCGGGATAAGCTACACAAAATCCTCTATATCGTGATTAGACTATGTGTAGTCTCATTATCAATTTATGCAACACTCTTGCTTTATCCAAGCTCTGCGCTTTCACACATGCACGTAGGCATAATTCCACCCGCAACTTCAAATCAATTAATGCACTAAACCTCAATCCCAAATTAGACGGGTCAGCAATATAAATTCTGTCATAATTAGAATATTATTTTGGTCTAACTGTTCACGTACCACCACCATCTTCCTTTAGCCAAGTTCTATGCTTTTGAACATGCACGTCAGTGAAGACCAAAATAGGAAAAATAATACAAAATTCCAGCCATCCATGTTTTTTCGGAGTAGCTATTCCGCATACAAGAGTGAGGCTACTTTCATTTCATCGTTGAGTTGAATCATACGAATAAAAACAATTAAACTCAAAGCTTATCCCACAAAGAAAAGACAATCATATTTCATCATATCCAATAATATCTCAATTAACTACTCTATACTACACTACAAGCCTCAAAAAACTCAAAGATTCCATTTTTATCTCTAGTACAACAAACAACACTTATAACAACTATGACTCAATCCCAAACTTAATGAAATTGGCTGTACAAATGCTCAATACCCTTCCCGATTCATTCGAGGCCCTATCATTCCAATTTACACATCTAAACATAAACAATGCACATCAAAAAGAGCCAAAAAAACTGCAATTATTCATTAAATTGTGACAATAAAGACGAGAAAATTACGCTAGAGCTCGGAAATTATCCCGAATCTCTCCATGGATCTGTTCCATTTGTGGGTTCATTTGTAAGTCCAAATTCGCCATTTTTTGAGCAATCGTTATCCCCTTTTTTCTCTTCTTTTTCCTTCACCGCCGGTTAGAACCCAAACAAATTCTTCACCGGCAAATCAAATTACAAACACCCAACTCCCCAAAACTCAAAAATTCACAGAATTCATCCCATTTTACACCAAAAAAACTGAAATCGAAAACTGAGGGTTCTAAAGATGGAAAGATTGAGATTTTATGGGGTTTTTTTGACAAGGAACAAAACCCAAAGAGGGGAAAATTCGATTTGGGATGGTTTTTAGGGTTCTTGAAGAGGAAAAAGGGGAAAAGAGAATTAATTTTAATTTGTGTTGTTTGGTATTAAGCAAAAATAATGATGGAAATACAGGCTGCCAATGGTCACTTTTTTCTGTTTGTTTTCTCTTTTCTCTTTCTTGTCAATGAGGTGTTGTGCACATGACACCCTTGCATATTAGTTTGCTAACATAACTTTGGTTTTATAACCGCGGTGTTCGGGTCTGCTTGTTAATTTCACGGTCCTATGATATTATTTCTATTGACGAAAGTTAGGTCTGCTTGTGAGTTTTACCGTCCTATGATATTATTTCTGTTATCGACGAAAGTTGAGATGAAATGGTAAGTAAATCTTAATTGTTAAGTTTTGAGTCTGAATATTAGGTATAAAGTCATCTTAATTAAGAAATATTTTACATTTTATCTCTAATATGAAACTTCCACATGAGTTGGAAATTTCTCAATGTGGGACTTTCTCGCTAAAATGTATACCACTTATATTATTAGTTTCAGTTGGACTTAGCTTTTGTTTAAACATATGACATAAAGTAATGATATCACATGTAATTTGGGATCGTAACTTGAATCTTCATATTATGATCTCAGTTTTTTTTTAATGTGAAGCTTGATTTATAAGTTCATATTTTTTTAAAAAAAACTCAACACTTTGACATGAAGGGAATTTGTATACCATGAGATTGATTAATGAATCTTTATAAAATTATATGTGTTTGAACATTTATAATCATAAACATTTATTTATAAAAGAAATATGAAAATATGTTATTTATCAATATAATGTCTAAGATATTTTGATATTTTATTATGAACTATAATCTGTTCATTTGCTTAAGATCATATAAGAATTGAATTTTGGGGGAAAATGTCTTCAATACAAAATTATAGTTATTTCAACAATTCAAAGTGGGGTCAAACTAAGAAATGAATTAACATTATTATAACTACTACCTATAGCTTTCAAGAGACATTATTTCATTACTGTTAACAAGTCCATTATTGCAATATTTTTCAATGACTATTTTCTTTTTAAAATTGTTGTTCGTCCTTAATTATTCTAGTTCAACAACAATAGCATATTCAACGTAATTTCATAAAATAGAATTTAGGAAAGGTAGAATTATACGCATATAAAATTATCTAAGAAGTAGAAAAGTTATTTTTGATAAATCTTTTATCTTAAAAGGCAATTCCAATTATCATGTATTAGTTATATTTTTGGATATTAATTAAGTTTGAATAGTGTTAATATAAAAATGAAATAACTAATTCTATATAGGCATAATACATAAACATGACCCTTAACTTGGATTCAACGGATAATTATGTCCTCCATCTTTGAGTGTGCACAAGTAGACCCTTAAACTTGTATAAAATTGAATAAGTAGACACATGCGTCATACATGACATAATACATGTATGACGCCACGTAGGACACAAATTTTTCATGTAGGGTGTCATGTAGGACGAATGTGTCTATTTGTTCAATTTTATACAAGTTTAAGTGTGCACACCCAAAGTTAAAAGTCATAGTTGTCAGCTGACGCCAAGTTAAGGATCATGTTTATGTATCATGCCTTCTATATAATATTCTTATTTATTCCATCCCAATAACCAAATGCAACACCTTATTTGGATGGTTATTATATGTTGTACTGTTACTCTGTTAGCTTCAGTATATTATTTATTTTGATTGTTACTTAAATTTTATTGTCTCGTATTATTTAAATTCATCGTTAGGTAACAATGAAAAAATTCATTTTGTATAACGATCGATTTGGTATGATCATGTCGTTACCTTAATATTTTCTTCTTATTTTGTCTTTACTTATTCTTTAATAGTTCTATTTTAGCATTTCACCTATCTTTTCTTAGTAGCTCTACCCCGTACCCCAATTTCTTATAGGTTGTATCATTCGAAATTATAATTGTATAACATTATCTAACAACGGGTGAGTTGATTGAATACGAATAGTCGACCAAGATTCAGAATTAAATCTCTAAGGCAAAAAAGTATAAGACGAAAAATAGTTTGTTGATCAGCTGAAAATGCTACCAAAGCGAATAAGGAATAAAACGCATTCGACGAATGCGATTTATGAACAAAATTGAAATTTACAAAGATACAGTTCAACATAAAATGATACGTCACATATTTTAATATATAATATTATGTAACATTATCTATGGAAATTCATACTATTTTATTAGGTTACATATAAATTCTCTTGACATATTTTATATTTTTTTTGCTTTCATTCTAAATATACTCTTTATGTATGTGTATAGTCATATATAATAAGTGTATATCTATATCTATTTTTTTTAAATCATGAATTCCCCAACTTAAATCTTAAGTTACTATTATACCCCTAATTAAAAAAACCTCCTAACTTAAGTCTTAAATTGCTATAATACTCCCAGCTAAAAACATTCATTTATATCTACATGAGTTATACAAAAGAAGCAATATATATTTTCAATATCTATTATTATCTTCTCACCCCATTCAGTCTTTATGACAGATAGTTTAGTGTACGCTCGATTGTCAATAGTTTGAGAGAGTTAGTCTGAGAAATTCTTATTCATTAGACTTTTCGATGCGAGGTCAAATTTCCTCAATGTGGTTCTTTAGTACAAATTCAATTTTAGTTGTGTCATAATACAAATATATATATATATA